TAAACAGTTGTAGTAGCAGCTATTCAAAACAGTCGCTCTCAAATGTTACAATTCGGCTCCCATCAAGGCACGTTCCGTAGCCAACAACTCATAAAATGGACAAAACATCAGAAATTGTTTAGACATTTGCTTAAGTACTTAGATGGCCTATCCTCACAGACCGCGATGGTTGGAATCTTCTATTTCTTTCGTTGTCCTAAAAACATTATCTATAAAGGTGCTAGGATTCAGTTGGGAAGAGCGAGGGTTTGGTTGCGACATCACAGTACACCAGTGCACGCATGCACATATGGATCGGGGTGAGTTTTGCTTCCTTACGCATCGTAATTTCCAGAAGTAAAAAAATTGCCATAATCAGTCACTTAAGATACAAATGAAGTCTTGTAAGCTTTTAAAAATTTTGTCCACAAATATTCCCCAGCGCTGAGATTCTGTGTTAGTTGACAGTAGTTTGTTTAAAAACGAAAACGTGCAAAATGCGATTAGCGCTAAGGCGCCAATGGAGTTAATTGATGAACTCCCTGTTTCTGTTGTACAGACAGAACTTAAACTTTCCGTAACACACCAATGTATGCATGGAAACCTTCGATTTATGTGGATTCGACCGCAAACTAAGTGTCGAAGGCTCAAGATTGCTTATAACAAGCAGACCCCAACTTCACTGCGAGGAAACCTATGAGAAGATTCATCCAACATGACACATTCCTCTGATCATTTTTTTAAACTTTGTTAAAGGGATTCGCCTACTCTATCAGCAATTTCATTCATCAGTAAACCAATGGCGAAAGTCGTCAACATTCTGGAAAAGATCTCTTTCGGAATGTTATAGATTTTCTAGCGAGTAAATGCTTATGAACTGAAGCGGAATGATAGAAAAAGGTCCTGTCAAAAAGCAGCAGATAATTTAGATAGAGTATATGGTCAGACTACACGATCCTTCAGAAAGGTGAGTCCTTTAAGACGAGGCACCTGCTAAAAGAACTGCCTAATAAATAAAAACTGCTAATAAAACTACTATTTTTTTGCGAGATTGTGTGCTGTTTCGGCCACCGCCCAAGGTTTTCACTCTTTTATGAATGTCGTAGAATGCTAGTCGAGTCGATTCCCATTGCAATCTTGGAGATACCAGACCACCGCCAAGGTGTCGACGTGGACTGGGCAGGAATGTCTTGTTTCCTAATCGGCTACATCACTAATCACCGTACTACCAAACTTTCTAAACTATTAATGAGAAGTAGATTATGCTTGTTTAATGAAATAAACCTAGAATTTGGATAAACGGGACTTTAAAAAATTGAACATGGTTTTTGGCTGTAAACATTTGAAAAATAGGGAAACCTTGCATTTGCTGAGAATAAATATTTCATTCATTTCGACATGGAAACGTCCACACTGATCAACTAAAAAAACTTTCTTTGTCGAATTATCTCCATCAGTTTTTTAATGTTTTAAAACTAATTGCAACAGGTAATTTCCAAAGTCGCACTATTCTTCAATTCCTTAAAGATTGCCCAAAACCGACCTTTCACTGTCTCAAGAGATGTCAAAAAGATTTCCAAAGGTTTGCTGCTTTGTGGTAACTAGCGAAATTATTATTGCGATACTCAAACACAATCATAATAAAACGTACACATATAAACATGATAGTGATAGATTTAAAACGCTTAAAATAGAAACATGCCTGGTCGTTCCTTCAACCCCACTCCGAGCAATCCAAGGATTCCGTTCAACTGTGGTCGGAAAGAGAAACTGGACTTCCGTGGGAAAGAGAAAGGCTGCCTTTAATCGACAAATGCCTGAAATCGTCCACGATAAAAACTCTAAAAACCTTCGTGGATACCGGATGAGAGACAGGGAACAAAATGAATTTAGTAATGAGACCCGCACAATAGGTAACGTCGATTCATGTGAAATCGGAGCAATTATAAAATAGTAGCAGTATAAAATAAGTTTTCTGTAGAAAAAATCTTAAACAGTATTTCACCAGTGTTTCCGAACTCAGTTAATTTTACGCTGTTGGATGAACTACAATATTTTTGAAATATTTGCAAAACCATGACCCCAGGCCTGATTCGAGCCCGCGACTACCCTTTCCGAGGGGCAATTGTTATCCATTGCAGCACTAGGGCTCCTGCTTTGCCCTTCTATTTTCCAGTTTTCTACCTAAAGGTGCCATCAGCAGTCGCCCGTCGGCGGAATGGTCTGGAAACCACAAATAGAAATTGAACTCAGTTAAGCTGCGGCTGTGCTAGAAATCACAGATTATCCCAGTTGGCGGGTGATTGCTGATAGCACCGTTAGGGCAAAAAAACTGGCATAGAGAAAGGCAAAGCAAAGGCCTCAGTGGTGCAATGGGCAACTCATAGAGCATCGGAAAGGGTAATCGCGGGCACGAATCCACCTTGGGGTCCAAGTGTTACAAGAATCTCAGCATCATAGTGACTGTTTTTCACATCATGCCCTACCATAATAAATACAAAATGAATAAAGGATAGACCTCTTGGCGTTGATCAATCCCTTTAGGGATTCACCATGCATTCGAATTCATCAAACATCGTTTGGAGGTGGTTGAATGCATATCTGGCTTTTACAATAAAACGCGGTGGCCAACCGATGTATCGAGCCAATGCTGCCGTCCTCCCAGAAAAGTCTGGTACCAATTTGCCGACCCCGGAGGGATGGAAGACTTGTGGACCAACGGTGTCTGGTTCGATCTACTGTGTATTGCAGGGCGCCCCCGACTACTGCGCCACACACTCCCTTTGAGAAATAATTGAAAAACAATAATAGGAAGCAAACAAAAGGTTAACACTATGTTGTTTTTTCTAGCAGTGTTTAGTGTGCGGCTAGTGAAGAATTACGAGGAAATCGGCAATTATGGCACGTTCGAAAGTAGAGGAAGGACGATGATGTTTCAGGGTGATCAGATAATGTACAAACATAAAGGTGCAAAAGAAGTGAGCTAGCTTTGATGCTCACCGAGTTGGCGTGATGGACGTCTGAATGCTACTTGTGTTGACTCACTCTTTGGTTTTCAGCGGATCCCATTCGATGGTGGTGGTGTCCTTTTCATCATCAACGCTATTTAGTAATTGTTCATTGAAATTCGCCTATGATACCAAGAAAACCTGCTCTAGTCATTGCTTTGATGCATTGCGCAGAAAAAAAAGCAGAGGAAACTACGCTGAGTGGAAATTGTTTTATTTAAATACCATCGGTGCCTTGTATTGGAGCCGCTATGTTTCTAACAGCTAACTCCATTAACGTGGGCATCTTAAGAAAACCTCTTTTCATCAACTATTCAGGCTAAAGTTGGGACAAAATTTAGAAAATATCTTCAGTAAAACCAAAAATTGGGCATATTGTACAGTGAGTGAACGTAATATAAACGTGGTTGTTGTTTCGACTTAGTGCAATAGGTGTGGAAGGCTCCCTTCTTTTCGATATAGGAAATTTGGTATTAGACATTGATATGTTTCAACAGTGAAGTTCTGCAAGCCATTATTCAACACAAATATTTATTCGAACGAGCTTTAGATTCTGCGAACGGAGCGGGATACATGGACATCGACAAGGAAACGGCTGATGGCAAACGCTTTATCCTTTTCTATCTTGTTAACAAAATCGTTACCTGTATCACCTATTGCCCCGTTAATCGTCGAGTGACTAGAGACGGCACCAGTGAATTTTCATCTTTTCATATCGCGCCCAGTGAGTTCCGCTTGCTCTAGGGATTCATTAGCTTCATATTTGTTTTCTAGGAATTTCGCAAAAAGCTCCGTCCACCGGGTTGCTGGTCATTCTGTTTGTGCGTTATACATTCCAACAAATGCATGTGCTAACGGTCACTGATCATCATCGGTTGTTATTCACACGCATCATACCTCTGGCTCACCTGACTATCGACATTTTGGCGTGTACAAGAGCATTCCTAATCTTCAATCGTTCACGTAAGTCGGGAACGTCGTACTCCCTCCCTCATTTGTATGCACTCCAAGTGTCGCTTTCTCGCACAACACAGAATGTCCTTTTTTGTAATGATGTACTGACCAGCTTCCAGTTCTCGTCTTTCCTCCATAGATCTAATCATATCGCTTCCCTAAAGAAATTTCAAAGTCCTGATGCTAAGTCACCGTTTCCCACGACTCTTCTGTTTCCAAATTGGCGTATTAGATCAAGTCTTCCTGAAGATGGACATCCGTTGATGTCTGCCTAACCATCGAACATCGTAACGCCAATATGCGAAAGTTGAATAAGCCGGTAGCGTCCCTCTTTACTCGAGGAGAACCTCGTCCGTCTTTCCTAGAGTAGACGCGGAGCTCATTTGTCGGAGACGACTCTTAATAATATGCCATTTACTTCCAACTCCACAATGATGAGGAGATATTTGCAAAACTCCGGACCGCTGGTGTCTACGGTGGTGAACGAAAGCGCTATTGTCCTTTTCGGGGAGCAAAAGGCTCAAAAGAGTAATTTTTCCGGGCAATTCTGCTACGAATTTATCGAAGCTCAAGGGTTAAGGGGCTCGAAGAGCCTTGAGTGGATCCAATAACGGTCATGCTTGTGACGATCGACATCTCTACTACTGCATTACTTGCCCCTTACATATATATAAACATATATATATATATATATATATATATATATATCACCTGTACCACCCGTAGTCCCGCTGATCGTTGAGTGACTCGAACGGGCGCCAGTAAATCTTCCATTTTTCCTTGTCGCGTGCAAGAGTAGTCCAATCGGTTCTGATCGCTCTAGGGACTTGTCGAGCATCATATCTTTCTTCATGGCTCTTTGTGAGGAACTCTGACTATCGGATTGGTGGTCTTCCTGCAGTGCGTTTGATATCCCGAGGAATCCAGTCACTAACGGCTCTTGCCCACCGGTTGTCATTCATAAGCATTACGTGTCTGCCCCACTTATCTTCGACTGTCTGGCGTATGGAACGGTATCTTTGACATCCGCGCTATATCCTCGACGCTCTTGAAAGCTCCTCAAGCTGCTCCTTTCCTTCTTCTCAATTCTGGATTAAAGTCGTCCATCATGTTGATTTCCCGGCCTAGATAGACATAATTGAAGCAATCGGAGACATTTGTTCCCTTGAGCGTGAATGGGCCATACGAAATCAATCCGTTCCTTATAAACATCGTTTCTGTGAGATTTATTCGAAGACCAATCTTTCCACTGGCATTATCAAAGTCCGCAAGCATTCGTTCCGCTAGCTAATGCTTGGTGTTATAAGGACGATGTCATTATCAAAGCGAAAATGGTGTAATTGCCGACCATCGAGTTTCACTCCCATATTATCCTATTCCAACATTGGCGAGATTGTATCGCCTTCCGTTACCCCTCTTTTGACGTCAATGTTAATATCGTTGTAGAATGGTGATACCTTCGTTGTAAAATTTTTGTACAGCTCACGAGAAATCTTTATGTACTGAGTAGGGACTCTCTGACTACCAAGGGCTTCCATGATTGCTCTTATCTCAATTGAATTAAACGTCTTCTTTAAATCGATGGAAGTGAGACAGAGCGGTGTTTTGTATTCTCGCGATACTTCGAGGAGTATTGTAATCGTGCGGAAGTGGTCCATCGCACTAAATCCTTTTCGAAACCCTACTTGCTCAAGTGGCGGTCCTTCGTCAAGTGTTCTGTTAATCCTGCTTAGGATGATTCGAGTGAAGAGTTTGTAGACACAGACAGCAAGCAGATTGGGTGGCAGATGCCGATATCGTGGAGGTTACCATTCTTAAACATTGATGCGGTTCTGCTGGTCTTCCATTGAATGAGAGCCTTGAATTCAGATAAGCAACGTGGGAAAGAGCCGAGCCGGTGTGTTTATGAAGAGTAGGAGAAGGTTAAGGCTTTATCGTGTTCGGACCTAGAGCTATTCGATTCTTCACCGACGAAATGGCATGATTTCGGAGGGGAGCAGTGGTGGTACAACATATCCATCTTCCTTTATTTTATATGACGGAAGGTTGACGTGGCTATCAAAGCGATTTGAGTTGCATTCGTGAATGATTTTTGACATTGCCTTTCTTGACGCTATAATTGTTCCGTTTGGGTCTCGGAGTGCCATCATCTTTGCCTTGTAAACGGCGAAGCTTTAGTGGGCTTTGCGAATGCTGTTCTAGCCTCTGCGGCTTCGACCATTACTGCTGCTCTTCTGTCTTTAATATCTTCTTTTATCGCCTGTCTCCATTGTTTTGCAAGTTAAGAAGTGAGTTGGCGGTTGCTAGCAGCTTGTACGGCTCTACTTTGGCGTAACAGCTCGCGTATTTCTGAAGACTGACGTCTCTTGGTAACTTTCGAACTTTCAACTTTCATAGCGCTGACGTGAAGATGTTTTATGAGCCGATGGTATTCCTCCTCGGTGTTATCGACAACGGCATCTTTCCAACAGCCGACTAGTGAATTGAATAGGTCCCCGTTTATGGTGGTTTTGGAACTTCGGTTTTTGAATTTAGCGGCCTTTTCTCCTTTCCGCGAGAAATAAAATCTTGCACGGAGTCGGTGGTCTGATACTGTGTAGAATTTTGGGACAGCAGCGACATCGGTTAGGCAAAACCTGTTTACTATAATGTGGTCCACTTCGTTACGGTGCTCTCCAATGGGAGATTCCCACGTCCAGCGTTGAGGGAGGGGCTTCTGGATTTGCGAATTACCATGGATGGTTTTGGCCTCCATGATAAACTCAGATAGCCGCTCACCCTGTTTGGTCCATTCTAAGCCATTCTAAGTGGGTCCCAATGTGACGTTCTATAGACTTTCCTCTTAGCCCAATCTTGGGGTTGAAATCTCCAATGATGACCTTGAAGAATGTGTGGTCTTCTCTGTAGAACTTCTCCAAATCCATATAGAACGCTTCGACTTCTTCTTCGCAATCGTTTGTTGGCGCCGCGTAAACGACGAAGGTTGTGAAAGCCGGTATTGTTCCACTTCTTCTTAATCGTAAACGTCCGATTCGGGTTGTAAGCTGTTCGAATGAATCGAAGTTCATAGACAAGCTCGTGTTAACGAGAACGCCGGCGCCGCCGACTCTTCTAGTGTCGCATGTTCCGAAGAATAGATCTTTTCTGGTGTCAGAGACGGCGTTGAATGGGTGGCGTCGTCTCGTCTCGGCCAGGCCGATGATGTCGTACCCTTATCCTTCCTGCTTGCATGAGCAAGTCTTCTGTCGAGTATTCGGATGTAAGTGTACGTGCATTGTAGGTACAGATCGTTATCATAGTTCTTTGTAATCCAGGCAGGTTCCATTGACCCTGAGATTTTAGCAGCCTCTCCGTACTCGTCCAGCGCTGCGAAATTGGGAGCTTTTTCAGGTTTTGGGAAATGAGGCCCGTTTTTTTTTACTGTGTTTAACATTTTGATACCCACATATAGCTTGCTGGGCTCTGACGGTGGGCTGGGTATGCTCACGGACAGCTTTCCAGGCTCTTCCAGAGCGGACATGGAGCTTATTTGTTCGAGGTGACTCTTAACCGCCTCCCATATACTTCCCAGTCACTTGATTGCAGGCTTTTGGCCATATTAACTCGTAGAATACAATCGGCATAAGAAAGAGCGCACCACACACGCATGCATGAGCACGCCTAGGATATACGAAAGAATATACGAAAAAGGATATAGTACGATGGACCACGTCCATACGATAACGAGAATCATTTAAGTATCGCGAAAACGCGAAAGACCGCTCTGTCTCACTTTCATCGATTTAGAGAACCCCTTTAACTCAATTGAAACAGAAGCAGTCATGGAAACGCTTAAGAGTCAAATAGTCCCTTCTCAGTACATAAAGATTCCTCGTGAGATGTACAAAAATTTCACAACCAAGGTATCACCATTCCACAGCGGTATTAACATTGACGCCAAAAGAGGAGTTAGGTAACGTGTTACAATCTCGCCAAAATTATTTACAACCACTCTCCAGAACGTCGTACGAGCTTTTGGAATGGGATAAAATAGGAGTGCAAGCCGATGGTCGGCAATTATAGAGTCCTCGCTTTGTTTATGACATCATTCTTATGACACCAAACATTAGCCAAGTGGAACATATGCTTGCCGACTTTAAGAGAGCCCGTGGAGAAACTTTTCTTCGACTAAATCTCAGAAAAACGATGTTCATAAGGAACGAATTGGTTTGGTGTGCCCCATTCACGCTCAACGGAGTAAATATTTCCGAATGCTTCAGTTATGTCTATCTAGGCTGGGAAATCAACAAGATGAACGACTTAGCTTCAGAATTGAGGGGATTGAAACGAAAGAGAGCTTTTAAGAGCATCGAGGATATAGCAAGGAAAAAAAACAACACTCGTCTCCGTGTCTTCCTTTTCGACTTAGAGGTACTTCCTATGTTAACGTATGAGTCAGGAACCTGGTTGCTGCATAAACAGGATAAAAAATCACGCTGCGTTTATTGAACGCGCAGTCGAAAGCACGATGCTAGGAGTTTCCCGTGTCACGCAAATAAAGGAAGGGATCCGATGTTCCGACCTTCGTCAACGATCATAAATCAAAGATGCCGCTCTGTACACCAAACAGTCGAAAATAAGGTGGATCGGACACGTAATGCGTATGAATGACAACCGATGGACAAGAACCGTTAGTGACTGGATTCCTCGGGATGTTAAGCGCAATGCAGGAATACCACTGACCCGATGGTCAGAGATCTTCATGAAGAGCCTAGAAGAAAGGTATGACGTCCTACGAGTCCCTACAATGAGCAGAGCCAACTTCGCTACTCTTGCGCTGGACAGGAACAAATGGAAGATTTACTTGCGCTCGTTCGAGTCACTCGACTATCAGTGGGACTACGGGTGATACAGGTGGTATGTGAATTTATATATAGTTACTGAAAAAAACTTCACACCACAAATTTTTAGCAATTTACCTTACGGTTAGGATTGTTGCAAGAAATCAATATGAGAAGAAAGCCGAGAGTATGGAATTTTATTTTAAATTTGATGTGACCGCTAGCATCAATCTACGGCTTCTCAGCTGCATGGGAACGTTTCTCAACTGATTTCATCAAAAACTCTTGTATGATTGAGGAAACCTCTCGTACTTCCTTCTTATATTCTTCCGAAGTTAGGCATTTGATGTGGAAGGGTTATTGCTTTAACCGACCGCAGCGAAAAATCGTGGGAGGTTATGTCAGGCCTTCCGGCTGACCACGCATGTGGCCCCACGGCTACCTATTCTTCTCTCAAGGTAGTTGGGATTTAGCTATTCGCCAGCAACAATAGGAAGATGTGTATTAGTGCCACGTTGCACAAAAGTAGAACATTCGATACTATCCTTACTTTCCCTTGTTGCTTTTTGAAGTTGGCCTTTTAGGATATTGGTGAAAATTTCTCGAAGAATGTATAAATTTTTATTTACTGCCTACTATTTTTTCATGACAGGGTCTTATGTGAGATATGAATGCGTCGTTTTCGTGTTCAGCAATCGCGTGGTTTTTAAACAGCATACATTTACTTCCATAGAGAAACACAATACAATACAACGCTAGCTGACGTTTCGGCAGTATCGCCTTCTTTCAGAGCTGGAAGGGTATGCTGATATACAATCTACAAGGCCAAGCGCTTCAATAACACTTACAAAAAGACGAAAGGCCCTTTGGTAATTATATGATCAACAGTTTCTCGAAAAACCCACCGCTTTTTCGTGACTTCCAATGAGGAAGTTTAGAACAGCTGATTATAGTCGCATGTGGTTGACGACTGCACCATCCCACATCAAAAATCGATGCGAACATACGGGATCAGGTCGCGTATGACCTCCGGGCATTCGTCCCTGCTATTCATTATAGGGTTTTTGGCATTGATCCAAAAAGCCTCAAGGAGTTTTCGCGCTGGTGTTTTGGACTCCTGTGCAAGGATATTGACTTTTACTTCAAAACCGTCTCCGCTATGCTTTTGTATCCTATGCGCGCCTAGTGGGGTGCCTCGTTTTAGTTTTCGTTTGCCATCTGGGTGTTCTTTTATACGAATACACAAAGGTTTGCCCGTTGGGCCAATATATTCATCTCCGCAATTATTACAGGAGATCAGGTATATCCTACCTGAACTCATGCAATCACCGTCCCTGCCGTAAGGGCAAACAACGCAATTTGTTGTTTCACATAGACGGCCATACAGGCGGTTACGAACTAATTGACGACGTAGAGTAACCGGTGGTATTTCAACTATCGCTACCGATTCCTTTA